AGAGAGCGGCAGAGCGCGAGGGAAAGTGCAGGGCAGCCCCGGGTTGTGCCCCCGCCCCGCCGCCCCCGCCCTTGCCCTGGCCCGCTGTCTCCGCCCCTTCGGCCACGCCCCAACTCCCAGTGTAACGAGCTCCTGGTTTTGCCTTCACAGCTCCTTGATGAGGAAAATGCTCTTGATGGCGCTGGGGTTTTCAACACGGACACAAAAAAGCCTGCGAACTGAGAAGCTTTTTGTACCAGCGGGATTCGTCAGTTAGGAAATGTGGGCCTTGTAGCGTGTTTTGCTGAGGCGTCATACTTCATGTTCTAGCCTGTTGCTTATTTCGTTAACACGCTCAGTTGCAGGAGGCGTGTACCAATGAATATTCACATGCGTGAAAACTTTGAAAGTGCATGCTTCGTGTTATGGCTAGTAAAGTCTTTCTTTATCATATTTTAAACTTTCGAATTAGATTAACACGCTTTCTTTCTCAAAGAATATAAATATACTTCCATTTACTTGCACTTAAAGTCTTTGTGATTCGAATATTTGTCTCACATTAATTGGTTGACCCTCCATTATTTTACTAGCAAGGGCAGTTTTGACTAAAATCTCCTTTTGACTGATCGCACCTCCAGGTAGTTTGATATCATTTACGATTAGTTTTTAGTACTCTGCATCACTAATAACATTATCTCTTCTACAGAATCAAAATGAAGTGAATAATTTAAACGTTCTGGATGCAATTCGAGATTCACTTAACTTAGAATTACAGTATTTTATAACGACATTAAGGATTTATGGGCCAGTTTTAAGGTCATGTTTTTGGTTCAAAAAGTGCCTGTTAGGTTATCTTACCAATTTAGTTTTAAGGCAGGAATGTGTCCGTAATATTCAGTATCCGATTTTACTTTCTCAACTTACTAGTTTTATGTAGAAAGTAAATATTGTAATGCTGCGGCGGATATCAGCGAATTTTCTCTAAATTAAAAAGATATTGGGAGGCCCTGGTACCGAAAAAGTGGATAAATATTGTTTCTATCCAAGAAATCAATTACTTTCTCTAACACATGTAGTCAGAATTCACATTTTGTGAGTCGTTGATTACCAAAAAATTGATTAGACACTGAAAAGGCTGTCCGTTCTGTCCGTCTGTCCGTCTGTCCGTCTGTGCCGTTCTGTCCGTCTGTGTTTGTCCGTCTGTCCGTCTGTCCGTCTGTCCGTCCGTCCGTCCGTCCGTCCGTTCGTCCGTCTGTCCGTCGTACCCAAGATCTGGATCTCCGTCTGCTCTTCGTCTTGTTCGCTGTATGTTCGTCCTCCGGTCTGTTCGTCGGTGTCTGTCGTCTGTCTGTCGTCTAGTCTGTTCGTCTTGTCTGTTCGTCTGTCTGTTCGTCATTGTACCGATTCCGTCTGGTCCGTCCGTCTGTCCGTCCGTCCTTCCGTCCGTCCGTCCTTCCGTCCATCCGTACCAAAAAATTGATTGACGGCAAAAGCCTGCCTGTCTGTCTGTCCGACCGTCCATTCGTCCGTCCTTCCATCCATTCGTCCATCCATCCGCCCGACCGTCCATCGGTCCGGCTATCGGTCCGTCCTCCCGTAGTCTTGTGTGGTGTCAACAACACCGCCTAAACCGTTCAGACGATTTTGTCTAAAATCCATATTTCCAGATCGATCTGAAGATCCTGCGAATTTGAA